ATGGAGACAACCTTGCATTTCAATGTTGAGCTCGGTGTTCCCAACGAAGTGAAACAGCTCGTTGTAATGAACAAAACACCAATGTTTAACGTCTGTGAAGAGAACAGAAAACTGCTTTAAAGAAAAATCAAAGAAGAATTACACCGATGAGTTAGGTTTACATAGCTACATTTTAGTACCCTTTCACCTAAGAATTCAATCTAGCGTTAACGAATATTTGTTGAAGGTTTTCAAAACGTTTCTTCGAAAAGAACAACATGCAATAAACATCAGTTAGTGCATGAAGGTGAAGTGGCATTTTTTCACCATTCGGCTTGAAGCAGTTGCTCACCTCTCAAACTTAAATTTTACTATCACTGCATCAATAATGCTAGTACTCACTGGGTATACCCTGCTTCAGCACTAAGAAATTCTACCTAAGCCCAATATAAGTTGTCACGTTTCAATGACCGTTACGGAGAAAACGTGTTCATAGACGTCACCAGCGATGTAGAACATAGTTCGGCTCAGAACCAGTTCGCACAGTTCAAAGTGCCCTGCACCTAGATCCACACCTGTATGAAACTGCAAACCGAATTGGTAATGGATTTCGGCATCTAACCTTTTCCTAATCTACTACAACGCATATCTCAGTCGTAAAGCAATAGAAGTGCATCATTATAATCTAGCCGTTATCGATTAAAACCAAGATTTTTTTTCGAAACGCTACGAATAGGATTTTTTCATTCTATTCAAATACCTATACAGGTTTAATGTTGATGAGTTCTTCAGATAAACACGTTTTAAGAGGATACATTAAGGATTTCAGAGGATCAGAGGATTTTAAAGCATCGTATATGATGCTTTGAAATCTATTCACAGTAAAGCTTCCAATTCTTCCAATTCCTCGTTCATTTCAGACTCAAGCGCAGAAGATCAGGAAGTCGAAGTGAATGCTCCAGTAATGGGCTTCTGCTCAAAACTAAATATTTCCCACCATCAAAAGATCACAGCAAAATTTTCAACTTCCACTTTTCCTTCCCCTCAGGAGTGGCGGTAATCGTCTTAAAGCATGAAATTGTGAACAAAACGAAAGCATTGTAGAGTGACCGCTCCGGATAACCCTCTAGCTTCTTCAACAACAGCAGCAATGACACAGGAACAGATTACCGATTTCTGTGCGGATGCAATCATTGCACGTAATTCTATCATGTCTTCTCCACAACGTTTAAATTGTTACTACTGTCTGGTCATTTTTCCTTTCGCAGAATTTCGCTGGTGACGAATGCAAGACAACAAATCAAATGGAAGAAACGCTGGGATCCGCACAATACGTGTTGTCGGATAATGCAAAAGAAATGCTATCGAGGATCGGAACTTGAATTTGTTTTTTTATTTTTTTTATTTTATTTGATCCATCTTTACGTCTACTGCGGGGATTCCACCACTTCTCACACGCGACTCGTTTCCTCGCATCCATTGTTCACGAAGATCTTCCAACATTTACGTGTGGCTTCGGTTGGTGCTTGAGGATTTCCATTTCATCTTGAATGTTCTGGAATGCTGGTCGAGCAATTCTCCCTGGAGTCCTGAGATAACCGGGCTGGAGCGTTCCCAATTGGATTGCAGAGAATGGTTTTTTCCCAGACAAGTCCGGTAACAATCTCCCGATTCCGGAGGAGGACAGTCTTGGTTGGCCCGGAGCGGAATCGAGCTAGCAACCGTGCTCGTGTTGACAGTTATCACTACCACTGTGCTTTCAGCCCCTAAAGTGGATAGAAACAGAAAATAAAAACCTTTGTTCCACTAACTTCATCACTTGGTTCACACTTCGCAAATAGGTTTAGGGATAAAAATAGATCGGTTTCACCTTCTTTGCTTTGCTAAATCTAGGTAATCTAAATCACAATTGCTATTATACGAAACTGTTCACGACCACACCACATAATACGATAACTGCTTACGTTATGAGAAGAAGGCATCCACTAATTAAGACCGTCTTAAAAACGATGGCCTTCTATTTGCTCGGAATTATCGATAAATTCATAAGAAACACTTACGGAGCAAAGACGATACTCAAGAAGTTCAACGAAAGAGAAAAGTTGGTTAGTCATTTTACACTTCTGAAGATTGTCATTAAGTACCAAATCTAAACCAATGCCATTATTTGTATACTGTAACGCTACTTCCGTATTCCAAACTACGCTGTCGTAATGTGAGCTAACATTACAACGCCGAACGGCAAAACCATCAACGGAACACTTGAGATAATACTCCCGCAGAGCAGATTAACAATGTCAACACTTAATCTCTATGTCTCTGCTACAAAACAACACGCTTCTTCGAGCGAGCAGAAATAAGTGAAAAATGAGCTTAGATCAGCAACATGCAATAAAACTCCTTAAATTACGTAGTTATCATGTCAGCAGTACTGTCATGAATTCAAAGAAAAAAAAAGAAAACTTTTGAGAAGCTTAGAAATAGCTCCATACAGCAGCTCAATACAACTTCGGAAAAACGAATGCCGAATTCCCAACATACGTATATGATCAAACATCAGAGACACCTTGGTACACGACGTTGAGATCCAGGTTTACAATAAGCTGAACATGTGGAACGTCTTAATGACAATCAGTGTAGATTCCACAACACACTGCATTAGATGCCAAACGTGTAGGCGATAGATCACCGATTAGTTTGCTAGTACTTTTCATAGTCAATGAAGAAAATACGATTCTCTTAGAGTCCTTGGAGATAACGGAACGCATTGCGGAACAGTGGCACTGCGACAAGAACAGACTGTAACTGATGGCATATGTTCGCAACATTCACTGAAAAAGAAGACTATGGACCAGATAACGTGCAATTTCTAGGATGTAGATGTAATCTCGCCAATCCTCAAATGCCTACATCCATCCGTCTCCTCAGTCACTAACCCCAGTATTTTCACAAAATCTTAGCAACCTCCTACAAACCTAGTCGTACGCGGCATGAATTTACATCGAGATCTACACCACCGCGAAACTTTTCTTCGCGATTTCGGCTGGCTTTCGGTCCAAGCCAAACATCTGTTACTCTAATCCGTCATCACTTAAACACGAAATAAAGGGACAACCATATACTACCGCGCGCGTTTGTTGGCAATAATTCATTACACCACTCTGCTTTCAGCATCACTGATGCGTCACAGCAAGACACATGTGAAGAATGAAGAATTTTGATGATTCACTTTAAAGAACTTGTGGAGAAAACGTACTAACAAATAGATTCGGATGTAATACATATAGAGAGAGAATGTGGTATCAAAACAAGATAAGAGTGACTCGAGTAAGTCAACTGCTCTGTCGATAGCATTCTCAGAAAGCACCACCAATCAGTGTTCGTAATAAAGTTTCGAAGACCACTACATTAAGTTCTGAGCTATGTATACAAAATCTCCGTAGATAAAGATATTAAAGAAAAGCTACGCAGTATGAGAAACATCCACTGCTCGCAAAATGGGCCCTTTCGTTCTATGATTTATGCAACAAGCAATCGAATAATATGAAGTCTATACAAACATCTGACGAAATGTGGATGTTCCACGCATGCTGTGCGCACCTACTTCTTCTAACAGAGTTTGAAAGAAAGAAAAAAAAGAATATTAAGGAACAAGCCGACGCATTACTTCATTTCAGTCGGATATCGCTCAACTAAACGGTTGGAAATTGGAAAACAAACCATGTACATATGGTGAATTCGCGAGTAAGAAAACGGCAAAACAGGACAGTATAAAGGCTGTCGTTCGTCTATCACAGAAGTGATATCTGGACCCATAAAACAGGAGATTACAGACACCACATTCGCCAAGTTGTACATCTGGCAAACATAAAAATGTCAATTATTAATTTCAAACTTAGTAGGTGTTCATACGCCGCTTCCGTAGAAATGTGCATAAGATCAATCTATGAACAAAGTAACCACACATGAAAAAGCAAAGCCACTAGACGTATATCCCGGCAATATCGAAATGACCATGTTAACACTGTGCTTATTCATTATCTACATTGTGCATGTCGGAACCGTTAAACAGTGCTGCATCACTATCGATTTTATTCCTGCCTGGGATATTACCATCGGGATAGATCCGTCTTAGAACCTGTAAAGATAGTACTAAAATCTGCAGCTGCAGTAGCAAATACGAATTACGCTTACCTCAGGTGGAACGTCGGGTGGCGGTGGTTTCCCTCCAAAAGGTTTCAGCCAATCATGTTCAAGAGCTTGAGCAGCAGTCACTCTTTCATCCTTAAAACATTAACTTATGATATATACACACCACTCGCTCACATGGCACGAAATCCGGTAGGAAAAAAAGTTGGGGAGAACGAGAAAGAAGGAAAACCCTAATAGAATACACCTCAAATTTCATGTAAAGAATATAACATGACAAATCTTGCACTTCCCATGTTCTGGTTCCTCTTACAGATAATTCGGAAACAATGCGAATTCACTATTTTCTCAGAAACTTCCACTATGAAACTGTCAATCGAAAATCTGAGTGCATCAAAAAGTTAAAGCTAAAGAAGAATACCATAATTCGACGCATTATGGGAAGTTTTGAGAAAATTACTTAACAATGCAGGGTTTTGAATGAGTTTTGAGCATCACTACAGTCATAACCTCCTTGAGGCCTACCTATACGAAACCCATGCATTGATTTCGATGCACATAGAAGCAGGTCCACTAACCGCTACCTAATTTAAATTAGCATATTTCAACCAATTATAAGCTTTATTAATGGAAACAGAAACCAATAGAGCGAACAGATCATTGCTAACTAGAACAGATATACAATAGTAGTCTATGACAGGGTGGATAGCACAGTAGCAGTGATGTCTGCCAACACGGGCACGGTGCTAGTTCGATTCTGCTCCGGGCCAACCAAGCCTCTCATCTCTCCGGGGTCGGAAAATTGGTACCGGACTTGCCTGTGAAAAAATCACTCTCTGCAATCGATTTGGGAACGCTCCAGTCCGGCGATTTCAACCAGCATTGTACGACATGCAAGATAAAATGAAAATCCTCAAACAGTAACCAAAGCCACACGTAAAGTTAGAAGATCTTCGTGGACAATGGATGCGAGGAAACGAATTAAATTTGAGAAGTGTTGGAATCCACATAGTAGATGTGAATACGGGTCATATAAAAAGTAAAAAAATACCAATCTATAACACTATTTTCACCACCGCCACCACCCACCCACNNNNCCCCCCCCACCCACACACACACACACACACACACACACACACACACATACACACACTTATATACGTTCAAAAATATTTTGCTTCACTTTTTATATCCAGTGATAGCATGTAGGACACAGATGTTGGGTTGGCCGTTGATCGGAAAAAGCGCTATTGTGCACTTGGAAATTTACGAATTTGTACACTTCAATACTATACATATATTTTACACATGTAATATTCACATGTATATTTACAAAACTGTCTCAATTTTAATTGCTGTAGTAAATGATAGTTATCGTAGAGCGCCTGCAGGTATAGAAAGTACTGGAATTGAAGCCGATAAATTGCAGAACATTTCGAAATGCAGAGAGCAATGTGTTTGTATGGCCGACTACAGTAACATACAGCAAATAGCATCAAAAACACCATTTATACCCATAACGTACACTAACACTAAAGTCTTTTCTACAAACCATTCAAGTTCGCAACCCACGAAATCCTCTAGTCATCGAAATTTTTTTTTTCAAAAAACCAGCAATTCCATTAAAGGCTGAAAACTAGATGTCGTCCAATCTGCAACAACCTTATGACTAGGCGTCGTCATTAGTGTTGTTTAATAATCACTGTACTCCAATTTTTGAAAACTAAATGTAGCTTCAACATGCCCTACCTGATCGAAGGCCAGCATAGGAATTAGGAACGATGCAAACTGCCGCGCTTGCTCGAAAGGCCAATCATACTTCTGACGCAGAACATCGAGAAGCGGCCATGGTTTCAGCTGGTGTATGTGGAGCAAACGCCCTTGCTAAAAAAGAAGAAAACCACTTTTCAAACCAAACGATGTGGCCAATCAAAATTGACTTTGTTGAAAAACTCCTTCCAGTGCTGGCCTTTCTTATATACAGACGGCGGGATTGATCCAAGCAGTTCGCAAATGTGTGCTATATGATCTTCATCTCGGGAATAATTATCACCATTGTGCGGTTCAAAAAGATAGTCCCCAGTAGCTAATTCAAAAGCCTAAAAGGAGGACCGTGCGAGTAAATTAACGCATCAAATAAAATATGAACGTACCATACACGCAGTGCTCCAAATATCTGCAGGAGGACCGTAACCTGCACCGATCAACACTTCTAAAGATCGATACTGCCTTGTTTGGATGTCCTCCGTGAAGTGATGGTGTGTCCAACAAGCATTACCCAGGTCAGCTATCTTTACCTACAATATCATAAATCAAAATATCTTAAAGTTAAGAAATTTAAAACTGATTTACAATATGCCACAAAATCCGTAGATATCAAAAGATGATACAGATGTGAGTACAGAAGAAGAAGCCAAATTTAAAATAAGCGACAATCTGGCTGGTCACACCGACCCTTTTCATTAACCATTTCACCGACTAGTCATTAACGTCATCCACTAGAATCCCTATCAAAGCAATGAATCGCTTTCATCCATAAGCACTGTCCTGTGTTTGCATGCGGCAAGTACACGGCTAAGTTCCAGAATGGTTACTTAGCAGGACGTTCCAATGCGCAAACAGCAATCGTCTTTTTATTGGAATACGACAGATCGTCCAATTGCAGCTTAGTACACAAAGATGTCGACACACGCACATAGCTACACACACACACAAACACTCACACACATACACACACACACACACACACACACACACACACACACACACGCACACATACGCGACGTACCCACACACACACGCATACATACATATATGCATACATAAACACATGCACACACACACGAACGAATATATCCATGCATATATTCATGTACATGTATATATATACGTATATATATGCACATACACCCATACACACAAATACACGACCGTCTCCGTGAATGATGGTTGAAAACTAAATGAGATAAAAATTTCGAGTCAAATTTCATTCGGAGACAGAATCGATGCTAGTAAAACAACACAACTACAAGCCGAAATTTGACGAAGAATCTTATCCAGGAGATGAAAGCAAACCTCAATATCAGCATAAGGATCGTTAAGATTCGGTCCCACTGGAGGAGTTGGCAAGACTGTTGGTAGCTGTTGCGCAGAGAATGGATTCGACGGTGAGAGTGGCGTATCAGCGACTAAAGAAAAAGCTTCTGTGTAGGAGAGTCAGTAAGACATAATTGAATCACAAACTATAGAAAAAAATTTGAAGATGTGAGCATAAATGATTGAACATATTACGCTTCAGCAACTGAAGCGATAGATTATCGTAAACTTAACAGCATAATTACAACTAGGATCAAAAAAGGATCGGAACACTGAATTCCTATGAAATGAACTCATGATTTAGAACCAAGAACTAATAGTCCTCGAAACTCATTAAACTCTGCATACTTTACGTTATATTTTCAAAAGGAAAAAGCAACATGATATGGAGCCTCGACTCGTCAGGTTTCAAGCATCACTTCAGAATTCAACGGTGGGAAAACAAAAAATGAAAGGCACTACAAGTGATTACGCAGATGTGCCTATCTAACAAAATGCTACAGGAGATTCGGGCATTCTAACACACCGACGAGTTACTCTATTTGTTTACAATTTATTTCTACTGCTCAACGCTTCAAACACCATCTTCTCTTGAAACAAGTGAACGCTTCAGTCCGTTTTTGTATCATTTTTTACGTCAGCTCTACTTCAATTCTATTAAATTTTTATCGGATTTCCAGTATGAGTAACACCATATTTGATATAGGCTAAAGCTATCAAAACGATAAACGAAAACGAACACTTCGAATACATTTTTTCTCCGTTGAAGCTCAGTGGAAGAGTGGATACAGGTAAAGAGCTAGAACTATTGCACTAAGTAGGACGATAACACTCTTAGCGGAAGAGTGGATGCAGGCAGACAGCCAGAAATATTACGCTAAGTGGACGATAACATCATCAAAGAAAGGCAATTTTAGTCTTTCAAAGAGGGTTATTTTAACAGAATTGATATCCCACGAAGAGCGCGAACACCAGTTTCCGACAAAGACCCTGCTGACACTTTGTCTGCAATGATATGCACCAAGCACCTCGAGAAATACTCTAGTGAATTATCAAAAAAGAACACACTGTTGTGAATCACTGTTAACTAAGACAGAAGTGAGGCAACCATTCAATAAAAACGACAACGAAATTCTGCAACATTGCGAAGTTCCATAGCAATCCAAAAGCAACATGGAGCTGAACGCAGAAGTTCGCCTACAGCCTGCACGTTGTTCCATTGAATAACCGTTCGTTTTTGTCTCTCGTACTCTTTCTTTCTGCTTTTCTCTAACATTCACTGACTCGACAACCTTACTTCGAAAATGGCTATATTGAATTCACCGAGTCTAAATCAGCGGAGCTTTTCAAATCAAATTTAGGAACAGAATGGGTATCGTGATGGGAGGCGCACGCAACCAGTACGAGGTACAAATTATTGGCTCGTTTGTCTTCTTTCGCATAAATACTTTTCTACAGTTGATAAAATTGATAAACTAACAGACAATGATTTATGCGCCAACTTAATATTATTCAAAAAACTGGTACTAAACGAATTTCATCATGATATCCATTGAAATACTTACAACCGAATGCACGATTTGTCTCAATAGCATTGCGAACCTCGCTCTCACTAGGAGGACTCAGACTTGTCCGATCAATAGGAGCGGGACTGAGGACCTGTAATCGTACATAAGTATGGAAAAATAACAATGTGTTCTCACAAACGTTTTCCATAACGAAGGCGTTTTAATGGTAACCAGCAACAAATAAAAAGCAGCCAATATCTCTGGAAAATAAAAACTGCGATATTATTGAAACGAATTGAAAACCAGTATTAAAACTTATTAAAACTGACCTGCTGAGGAGGCGCGTTAGTGTCGCCCTCTCCATCGCTGATATCCTGGACCATTGTCGCTGTAACGCAATCTCCATCCTGCAAACTATGTCTTGTAGCGCTAATTTCATTTCCGTAAAAATCTCATCAGGAACCTAAGGTTAAACTAAAATGTTTGGACGAATATAAGATCATCTAACAATAGGATTCGTGATGAGACTCCGTTCTCGCATGGTACACCACTGAACTAACCATAACTAAGCAATTTACAACAGATTTTTCATGTCACTTCCCACACAAATCATATATATATATATATATATATATATATATACACCACACATACTAAACAAAAGAATTTCCACACATGACCTAATACTAGCAATACAACCNACGGTTGTATTGCTAGTATTAGGTCATGTGTGGAAATTCTTTTGTTTAGTATGTGTGGTGTATATATATATATATATATATATATATATATATATATACACCACACATACTAAACAAAAGAATTTCCACACATGACCTAATACTAGCAATACAACCGTTGGTACGTGTATAGAAATTTAAAATTATCCTTCGAGTGATCTCGGAATGAAAACCAAAGCCAAAACCAACACAGGTACAATACCAAACATTCGTGCAAGACGATCATGTCGAGATAATGTGCCAGAACCACGTCACTACTACATGTGATCTTTAAGCATTCTGTAGACTACCTGTTGCACCGAATGATACGTGGGATTGCAGAACATGGTCTGCTGCAAGTCGCCCATACTACAGTTCTGTAGCAACTGTGGCACCAAGCCTGTAGGTGGGCTATTCATCAAAGCTGGTGGAGGAATGCCATGGCTGCGCGCAGAATTCTGCCAACCGAATAATGCATTATGTCTTACCGTTGAAAAAACAACAACCTAGACTTTTTAATTATTATACAACTATTGCAAATAAATTAGAAAAACACCCTGACACTAAAAGTGAGATCTTACACAGAACACAAGGATTTAGCGACTGATCTGCAAACAAACAGGGGCGAGGAAATATTACGACGAGAGCAAACAATTAAATCCAACTGTTTTTAAATTATTCAGTGCCATATGGTTTTACTAATGGAGATTACTAAGCCACATACAACATTCTTCCTAAATAAAAACTCACCGGAGCACTATTTAGTACTTCTTGAATAGCATTAGCATCGACGGTAAGTCCTTCCATTTGCGCAAGCTGTGACTCCAGTAGTTCGCGTTGCTTTTTAGCTTTCTTCTTAAGCTTCTTTTTCTTATTTTTAGTCATATTCTCTTGGACCTGCAATATTCATATAACCACCACAATGATATATGAATTTCCGAACTTGTGCATATTGAAACAAAATCAGACGTAAACAAAAACCTGATTATTTCATACAGATTTACAGGAAGCAACCACTAACCTTCTTCTGAACATGACTAGGTGCCGTACTCACAGCTGAGCCGCTTAGTTTCAAGTTCATTTTTGTAGCAACAACAGCGTGTTGTGCCATAAGCTAAAATTAAGGGCATTTAGGCCAGATGTGAAAACATCAAACAACACTAAAGCTTTTAGGACGACGTAAACATCACCTTGATTTCCTCATGGCTCATTGTTACTAGGACATTCTCCGGCTTTATATCTGTATGTATAATTTTGCTTTTTTCATGCAAATACCGGAGTCCTTCAAGTACCTACAAAAAAAATTCGACGTCTCAAAACATCGAAACATAAAAGAAAACATGAACAATGGATATTCGAAGAGAATCAATACAGATTTACTCACCTGCTTTGTGATTTTTCGAACTTGTTCTAAAGGGAGCCCTTGATAGTTCGATCGAATTATGAGCTTAAGGAGATTACATCCAAGGACCTTCAGAAGTGAATCAGTCAGTATCATTACAATAGTACATCAATGTTAAATGCTATGCTATGCACCTCAAATACCATACAAAAGTGAACACCATTGACACCGCTAACGGAAAATTCGTCTAGTAGTTGTACAACTCTTTGACATCCAAGATCTTCAGGATCGGCTTCGCGCACAGCGAGTAAGAGCTGAACAAAAAAAATTGCACTCAAAATAACCACTCCTCCATATGCAACCATCTCCAAGCATATCCAAGGATACATGGATGGCACGTCCTCATTGGTTGTGCGGGCACCACCACAATTGCCATTTTCTCAGATTTTTGCCGGTTTAGCCATTGCGGTCCCTGGAGTCCCAAAGTCAGCCACAGATCGTCACCACCACAGGCAGCTTCCCTGTATGTTGTCACCATGCAATTTGATATCAGGACGGTTGTGGATCCTGGTATCGGTTTAGTCTTAGCCGGGCTACCTAATAAAAACGCCGGACTCCTTCGCAGCTTGGAAGACTCTACTTATGTAATGAATCCTCCACTATACATCGCAGCACGACATCCAGGAACACTTTCCAGTAATGATGAGGCGATAAACGAAGCCGTCTTCAAACACATAAAGAGAAATTGAAAAGAGCAAATAAAGAAAAACAACGCTAAATTTCAAAAGCAACCCACTTTTATTTCGTCCTGTGCTGCATCAGTGTAGTGGTCTGCCGATTTTACTATTTTCAGTGCAACAAAACGTTTGTCCTTCGTATCCCAGCACAACCACACTGTCGAAAAATGACCCCAACCTAATTTTCGAATAACGTGGTACCTTTAAAACCAAGAGATAATTGGACAGCAAAACTGCGAAATTTGAAAATGTAAGAAATAATGATACACTATGTAACCCGACGAAAGATGGATAATAATCTTTTAGCTATGGTACATCGCTAAGCTACTTAAAAAATTGAAAAGAAATTTTGATTTCAGGAGTACTACATGAGTAATGAAGTGGTCTATCTTAGCAATACCTGTGTTCAAGTTATTAATTGGGACATTTATTTCCCTTCAGCAAAAGTACGATATCAAAAATTAGAGCGGAGGCAATAATGGCTGTTATAGAATATACTATATATACCACAGCTGTGACAAACTTCTGACAAAGCTGTACAACCCTTCTGCTTGCTATACTTATTCCACTACATGACAAATTCCACACCGTACTTAGCGTGTTTGTGATGAAGTAACGTCGTGCTTTACATTTTCAACTAACCTTCTGTTAAAAACGTCGCCAATATTTACGGGATGATAACCTCCACGCTTATAATCACGAGGGTCTTCCTGTTCTTCATCGTCTGATCCCAAAACTTCTTCTTGTACGACCTATGGTAAGTAAACTCTGAGGTATATCACCCCGTATAATAAACAGTGGAAACGACTATGTATGAGACGTTAACACATCAGACAACAAAAGGATGGTAAGTGTGTACACTACGCATTTGACATTTTACAACGTCGGTACTTTTAATAGTGATGTAATAAAAACATTCCAACATAAGGTAAAAAATTGCAAACCTAGTTAGGTCAGCTAATGGAGAAGAAAACGAATTACTTACAGGTTCTCCATCCTCACTTGAACCGCTGCGATGTCCTGCGGATTCGCTACACTGGCTCCCTGACCAATTACTGTACTCTCCACTAGGTTTATAATCTTGAAATACCACTCGTTTAGACCATGATCCGGCGTTGTCATAATAGCCTTCTGGAGGCACAAACGGAACTGCTGAAATGCTCAATAAAGAGCATCAGTGAAAACCAAAGAATCAGAAATATGTAGGAAAGGTGCTTCATTACAAACACTAACAAAATTACTCACCTGGATAACAGCTGTCGTCTGTCTTGGACTTTTTCAAATGGTTGTTACCGTTAGGTGTGGTGTTTTCAACGTCGCTGTAATAATAAATGTTAACGAAATTGTGTTTATACAAAAATATGCACCTGTATATACACATATCTATGCATATATACATACATAATACATATATGCGGGCACATACAGTGGTATACATGCGCACGTGTATGAACACACAAACAAGACACATATACACACATGAACAGATAAGTACATGTATATATATGAGTATACATATATATATATATATATACATATATGTACATATACACCTAATAACCAGCATTTTCACTAATGGTAAAATATTAATGTATACAAATGCTTAATCTACACAAATGTATATAAAAATGTAAGCATGAGAAAGTGACCTTGGACGCAACACCGTGGACAAAGAGATTGTGCCATGAAGCTCTTGCTCGAAGTAATTGGGATCTATCGCGGATTGTAAATAGGCTTCATCGAGTACTGCATTCGTATAAGACGTTAGAACAGACGTCAAAGATGTTGAAAGTAATTCCGTACTTTCACGCATAGTTGAACTACCGCTCTCACTTGTTGACGTATAAATGCGATGCGGCTCTTGGAGTCGAATAGTCGCTTCACAATCACTCACACCACATGGAGAAAAAACGATCGAAATGGTGTGCTCAGCGTATTCGTCTCCGTTATAGCATTCTTGATGGAGTTCTTGAGCCTCATCCTGTTTTATACCTCCTTCATCGAAGACCAGGTGTCCATCTGGAGAAACAACTTCGTTTGCAGAACCAAGTAAAAAGGACTTCGTTTTGATTTTAATAACAGAAAAATCAATATCAAGAAACCTTCGCGGAAGTTCCTCAATTGCGGAGGAATACCAGTGTGCTTGGTATTCTACATCATTGACGACTTTATCCTGCACTTCCCTTTGATAAGTACAACAATCGTCGAATTTCGAAGATGTGCTCCATTCAGTGCGATCAGAACCGACTGTAACGCAAGGACGAGTGGAATTCTCACTAGAGCACGACGGAAGACCATCATTAGAATCAACGTCGCCTTGTTTGGTTGGCGTAAACCAATGATAGATCAATGCGACAAACATAACTAGCCATGAGAAAATATCACAGTAGTCATAGGAATCAATCTGCGGCAAGCCCAGTTTGTGGTGCCTTAGAAGAATGAGCAACTGACGACTGCTCAGAGCACCCAACAGGTGTCCACGGCCTGGGGAGGGAACACGCGAAACATTTTTACCGTGCTGCAAGAACCCGTGGATAATAGATGAAAAGGTGATTGGAGTTTTACTCGATTCAAACGAGTACACTGGAACCTAGATACTCAGGGTACTACTCTAATGACTTTAACTATACATTAACTGACACCTTGAACAACACTAATAAAGCAAAAACCCTTATATATTAATTGGCTACGAATGATAAAAACTGATAATGTGCACATCGATATGTTCCTTTCAATTAATCAAAATGAGGTGAAACGTGGGGCAAAGATATTTTCAACCTTTTTTCATCAATGATACGGACGCAGTGACAAAGTACGATGTTGGTGCAAGGCATCCGTTACACATCAATAGAGTAGCATAGAATCATTGCAGGATAAGAGAAAAAACTAACTCAAAGTCGAGCGACTCGTTATTTCCGTTGATCCGATTTGATGATCCATTCGTTGGTGCTGAGATCTTCGGTTTATTATTGGCCTGTAATCCCATAAAAGATAACCAGGATAAATAAAGCTTGGATATGAACAGAATCTATATTGTTCACTTTTCATTTATTGCGTTTTATATTCTTCCATAGCAGAGTATTCTACGCGATACAACCACAATAACGATGAGATATTCACAAAACCCTGGACTACAGGTGTCTGCGTTGAGGAACGAATTCGCTATTATCCTATCCGGGGCTAGCGCATTCACCACCATCCCAATCGGTTCATTCGTTTCGTCTTTCAGATAGTTTTCTATCTACCAATACGACCAGCCAGCACTCGTCAACAGGACTGATCTAGGGAGCCCAAATCGGCAACGAACCTAGTTAAGCTGAGGCTGCAGTCGAAATCACAACCTGAACCTTTTTATTTACTGCCTATTCTTTTTAATGGAAAGATATGTTGCGAAATATAACTCGTATATAATGCTGAGATATTTGCAAAACTCCGGACCGCAGCTGTATGCGGCGGGGAACGAACGCGCTATTGTTCTTACCAGAAAGTAGCGCACTTCATCACCACACCATCCGGGTCCTCCGTTATGCCTGTCTCTCAGCTAGTTCTATTGATTTTTTGCCATCAGCAATCACCCGTCAACAGGATTGATCTGGAGATCCCAAATCGGTATTGAACTCAGTTAAGCTGAGGCTGTACTTGAAAACCAGTGTTAACTTTTTTACTTACTTCCTACTACATTCTTTCACAGCAGGGTATTGTCAAACCAAGTTCAACACATCTGTTCAATTACCGCGAAATGATAGAAATGTACAAAGATATACTATTACAGCAGAAGTAGTTGTCCACAGTTCATTACTTCATCTAAGTTGTCCCTGTCGAAGACGCCAGCCGCCATCAAGGACTCCATTCAAGAGAATGGAAAGCATCACACCTTTGGTATGTATTTCCGAGTTGTTTTCATAAAGTTATATCCACTGCCGTAGTAACAGGCCTATTGTCAGCTTTCTGAATGGAAATGTCTAACACCTTTTCAGTTTGGGTGACCCCATTAGGGCGAACATCATACCACACATCTTGGCAAGACATCTACGAATACTAAATTTCTAGTAACTTCTTTATAAAAAAAAAAACTAAAAACATGAAGTCTTCTACTGATCTATCCAGGTGGGCGAATACTTGCGATAGCACATAGGAGGGCCCTGTCAAAGCTACACTTTCACAAAATTCCAGAGAAAAAGAACTGCGTAGCCAACAGAATTTCAGGGAAAAAGTTGCCCCGAGTCAGCATGATTATTACCGGAGGATGCTTCGTGGAGTGATGGGTTAAAAACAAGAAAGCCTGTGATTTCATACCTTACAAAACCCACTTGGAAGTAGTGTATGTAGGCAATAAGATTTACAATTTCCTCAAAGTTATCAAATATCACAGCAGTTTCCTTAAGTTTCCGAAACACCCCGGGAAGATGTCCTTCCATAAACGCCGATAAGACGAGTGAACGAAAAAAACAAGGATAAGAATGAAGAGAAAATACACCACTATCAAACAATGAAGTACCCACCAAACAACTCCAACAAACTTTAATACTCACGTAACAAGTATAACTCAAAGGAGACGTTCCACATAGTGAAACACACTCGACTAACCTTCTTCTTATTGTTCTTTCGTTTTTTCTTCTTCTGAACTGCCAGTACTTTCTTCTCATCCCCACCCATGGTAGAGAAGACCCTATAAAATGAAAACCTTTCCTGACAGAACTCTCTAGCGACCGTAAAAATGACAAAAGATAAGCAAAACATCGACAAACAGAGATCTCTAGTATATCCAAGTCAAAGGCATCATAATCAATAGCTGGCTAAATAATCTTAGGATGGTGGACAGTCTAAGTATTGCCTAGGTCGAAAAACATTCACCTTAACATTTATTAAATTAATGCCTTGTAATACACAGTTACTTCGTACTAACTTTACAACTTTACATTGAATTTGTACCTTAACTAACTGGTCTAACGCGAATGCAAACTGCATGAGTGCTGAGAAGACAATGCCAAATAACCCTAACCTACCTTAACAACTTGGAGTAAAACATCTTTACCATTAGGGAAGTTGTTTATACTACTATAGACCTCTATAACTTATACTTTAACAACTTCAATATTTTAAGAACATGCCTTTAACCTCCTATTAACATTAATTTCATATCAATTTTGCATATTTAACTAACCAATCGTTAACCAAGGCATCTAACGTAAATATAAACTCCATGGGTGCTCAGAACCCAATGCTAAGGAATACTAAAGTACCTTAACAACTCACGCTCTAAGACGTCCTTATCATTAAGGAACTTAGGAAGTTCACACTTCACTGGAGTAATGGATAGGGTTAGCAGCAAAACAACTACGACCTACACCACGCCATTTTAACAACTTAGTCCAGGACGTCCTTATCGTTAAGGAACATAGAGAATGCGTAGTTTACTAGAGAGATGGACAACGTTAGTAGTAAAACAACTACGACCACGATCCTAACTCCAACGACGAAAAAGCAACCGGCGTTTGCAGTCAATTCTATATTCATTCAAAAATCGATCACTTTTTAGATATGCAGGTGACCGTATCTTGCCGATACGGTAGTGATGGCGCGTGGTGGCGTTCTGCCAACATTCTTATACCTTCGTAATGTACCGGTCAGAAAGTGTGGACCATCTTCACACTCTCTCATAACGTCTCGTAGGATGACATTTAAGGTCCCTAGGTGTCTTAAGCTTTGTTTAACCGATTAATCGGACGGATTCGTCCCTTAGGATCCCGTTCCTCGTCATTCTTGCTTAGAATCCAAGGATATCGGATTTTAAAGTGTTTCTTTAGCTTAATGACCACTGCCTCCAGCAAGAATATGATAACACGGAAGATCGCTTTGATGGGTTATCCCTGCGTTGGTGAGTAGGTCTGATTCTATTCGATGGGTGTATTTTGAAGTATGCTATTTAGGAAAGTCTTCAATCACATTGCGATTTGTACAAGGGCATTTCCCGGATGCTTACGATACCACTATAGAGGACTTACATAATAAACCCTATCGATGGTTTGGACGGGATTACAATCTGAGGATTACAGGTGGTCCTTCAGTCTTTGGTTTTCTGGGGTTTCTGGCTTTATTCCACGTTTTTCTGATGAATATTGTATGGACCTTCTCTAAGTCTCTCTGACTTTTCACAAAGACCATGTAACCCCGGAATTTACTATGTCAGTTTTTATATAAGCCTCAGAAGCATTTCACTTTAATCGTCATCGCTTCTTCTGGTCGGGACTTGGACAGTAAGATGCAGGGATGCGTCTCGTGTGTTTTAGAGCTAGGCTGGTTTTGTGCTTCTTATTAGGATCCTATCTTGATGGTTTAGCAAGCTACTATATATAAGTTAATCAGTGGGACTTCATTTTTTCCTGTATAGAAGGAGGAGACGGTCAGTATCGTTAAACAAGAAGCGCATGATGAAGAATTGCCTGTTATAGATATGCTAACAGCATCATTAGATTCATGGATTAAAGATCAGTAACGCTTGGAAGAGGTAATAGCTGGTTCGATCCCCACCGCAAACACCTGCGGTCCGGATCTTTGCAGATATTTCAGCATTATTGTGGTTGTACTTCACATAGTATGAAAAAATTAGATGAACTTTAAATGAAGAAGAATCCTTGATGGAAATATATCGAGATATAACAACGATGCTGAGATATTTGCAAAACTCCGGACCGCAGGAGTCTGCGGTGGAGAACGAACGCGTTATTGTTCCTTCCGAGGAGTAACGCGCTCACCAACATACCATGCTGGCTCTTCGTTTTGCCTGTCTCTCAGCTAGTTCTATCGATCTCTGCAGTCAGCAATCACCCGTCATCGGGATTGATCTGGAGAGCCCAAATCGACAATGAACCCAGTTAAGCTGAGGGTTTAGTTATAATCACAATTTTAACCGTTTTATTTACTGCCTACTATTTCAATGGCAGGGCATAATGCGAAATATAACTTCAACGATGCTAAGATATTTGTAAAGCTCCGGACCCCAGGTGTCTGCACCATCCGGTGATTGTGATTATAACTAAAGCCTCAGCTTAACTGGGTTCATTGCTGATTTGGGCTCCCCAGATCAATCCCGCTGACTGACGGGTGATTGCTGACGGCAGAGATCGATAGAACTAGCTGAGAGACAGGCGAAACAAAGGACCCGCATAGTGTGGTGGTGAACGCGTTACTCCCCGAAAAAGACAATAGCGCGTTCGTTCCCCGCCGCAAACACCTGTGGTCTGGAGTTTTGCAAATATCTCAGCATCGTTGAAGTTATATTTCGCATTATACCCTGCGATTAAAAATAGTAGGCAGTAAATAAAACGGTTAAGATTATGTCGAGATAGTTAGTTACTTTTTTATGCAAGTCATTCCTTTGTGGTTTAATGAACCGTTACTTTATATGTCTATCTTTTCGGAAGTTTTTCCAATACCATCTATCTCATGTTAGTCACAATTATGTTGAGATATTTGCAAATCTACGGACCGCAGGTGTCTGCGATGGGAATCGAACTCGCTATTACCCTTTGTATTACACATCGCACATCATACCGTACCATGGAAAAAGAATAGACAACAAGTAAAAGTTAAATTATCTCGTGTTCTTTGTCTATACAAATTTTTCATGTACTTGCTCATTTTGTTGACCAGGAGAGAGATTTTTTAGATTGTGCATAATAGTTTGGAATTCCTGTTTTCTTTAGACACTGCAGGGCAGCAAGAGTACTCAATATTCCCTCGAAGTTGTTCAGTTGATATCGATGGCTTCATATTGGTTTATGCCATAGACGATAAGAAATCGTTAGTATTTTCCCTACTGTAGCATTTGTGGTTGACATTTTTTAACTCCACGAGGAAGGACCATTTCAGATTTGAAATCATTCAAATTATTCACGACAAAATTATGGAAACTATTGGAGATAACAAGTAAGTTTTGACATCATTCGTCCTCAACTTTCTGCTTCTATTTGTCCGTATAGAAGAGAAGCTGGTTTCAGAGTGCCGATCGTCATTGTAGGAAACAAAGTTGACTTACAACACTCGTCACGAATGGTTACGAAAGAAGACGGTTCGAAACTGGCTCAAAAGTGGAGGGCAGCCTTCATTGAAACATCAGCTAAAGACAACACTGTAGCTTTTTCTTTTCGACGTAGTGTTTTGTGTTTTCACATGGATGCTGTTTCTCTTTTTCAGGCAGTGCAACAGATTTTTGATAAGATGCTTCATCAGATCGAGCTTGCGAGAGGGAACATAAGTGAGCACCAGGGTGGAAAGTGTAGGATTTCTTGAGGTTAATAGGGAGATCTTCGTTGTTCTTTTTGTTACTAGTCGAAGCATTTTTGTTTGAACGTAATGCCATTTGAAAATCTTCTATGTAATTATTTTGCATCCATCCCAGTACGTGCCACTGAAACGTCAGAAGTACGGTGGAACGTGTGTAAGGTATTTAATGGATGAATCCCTCTTTAGTAGTCTTTTCAAAGCGAATATGGTCCCATTCGATGTTCAAATACCAATGCAGTTGGAAGTTCTAAGCGAGTTTACGTTTCGATTTTGTTTGTATTACTGGCATATTGTACACATTCTTTGTTGATATTCATATATTTATTAAAAAGTTTATATTAGAGGTTTGAGGTGATGTTTTCTTCCATGATGGATTTGGTTCCAATCTTTCTTTCATTTGTTTTTTTTGTTTTCATGTGTAAAATTTGGTCTGTGTTAACTCAGTTTGAGTTTTCTGCAACAAAAAACGTTGCTAGATGATCAGTATGCATTTATAGTGTCCATCTTACTTCTGTTGTTTTACTAGATGATGTCTGAAGGTGATCAGTCAATGTTTCAACCCTCAGCTGCTGTTCGATGTGATGTTGATGTGATGTCTTCACGTAAGTATTCATGAGTTCTATTTTCATTGTTTTCACATAAGGAGATATTTCTTTTATTCGTTTTTGTTAGATCTCTTAGTAGCTATCTCTTACACGAGTGTAAACTAGACGCAAGAGGATATAAAATAGGATTAAATAGAAAAACGACGCGTGCGGATGAGTGCTCGGAGGCGCCCTGCAATGCACATGAGATCGATTCCCGCGCTCAAGGCTCACTAACCCTTCCATCTTCGCGGGGTCGGCGAATTTGTACCAGGGGCGTCTGGGAGTGCAGCAGCACTGACTTAGTACATCGGTAGACTATCGAGGATTGTTATAAAGGCCAGATATACATTCAATTACTTCCAACGATGCTTGTTGAAGTCGAACGCATGGCGCATCTGTCATGGATTGATCAACACAGAGCTCTATCCTTTGTCTCTTGGGCAGGAATGAGAGGCTTGGATGTTCCAAAGTGGGGTAGAACAAGCGTTTTAACGTGTAATGCACGACATTGCTAACCACTACGTATCCCGTTTCCCTGTAGGGACAAAAAAAACAATCATCTACATGGTAACCAGTCGGAGTAAAGTGCTAGTTCTGCGAAATTTTAGCTCTCATATCATCGACCATTGTTGTGGCATGCGTAGACATGTACAGAGGTCCCTAGTTAAGGTTCATAGGCCTATTTAGATTTTCGGTAGGGAGTTTTGTTTTAGTATAGTAAGCTGTCGTTCCGGTCACATATGTTAGTTTTCTTTTCTAAACAGAAAGTGAAGGATTCAGATTTGACGTAGGCGTGAATTTGTTTGTGTTTTTTGAATTCGGACTTAATATATGAAGGACGATTTGGATGTATAATGACCATTTTCGATCCAGTAGGTTACAGAACTTCTTTTCCACCTTTGTATATCCATTCCATAACTGGTGGAAAGCAAATGGATGTGAGTAGGATTGGACCAGAAAAACCATTCTGTACACAATGATTTGTAGAAAAAAAACCTTTCGAAGAAGAATGAAAAGAATTTGACCGATAATTTTACTAATAATTAGCTCTTATTTCATTTTAATCTTTGTGGTTATTACATGGAATGGGTGGACATTAAAATACCAAAATAGACTCTGAATAAGCTTTAAGACCTTTCCAAGTGCGAACTTTAACATTTTTGCGGGATGGACCATAGTAATACCGTAGTAAATAGTAGCATAAACGCCACTCATACTCATGGAATGGCAGAGCAGTTTCTTCCACAACTCTGTCATGTTCACAATCCCCCAAATGGCCAGGTTGAAAAATTATTGTTTATTGTTAAAAAACTAAGATATCGATAAGGGTAAAAGATAAAGCTCTCGGCGTTGACCAACCCCTGAGGAACACGCCATGCGTTCGACTTAATTAAGCATCGTTTGGAGGTAACTGAATGCATATACGGTCTACACAATGAGTCGTGGTGGCCTACCGATGTGTCGCACCAGTGCTGCTATCCTCCCAGACAAGTCTGCTAGCAATTTTCCAACCCCGGAAGGATGGAGGGCTTGGTGAGCCACGGGTGCGGGGACCGACCCCATGGGCCTTGCAGGGCGCCGTCGATCACTGCACTACACGCGCCCCAGCATCTAATGACTGAAAATTAGGTGCAGTCGCGTGTACTGCAGGCGGCTAATGCTACACTACTTCTATGTGTTAGTGAACTAAGTAGTGGGTTGATTCCAAGAGTGTGTGAATTAGATTATCGTCAATTTTTGTTGTGTTATCAGAGCACCAGACTAAAGATTTTGCTATGTACTATACTCTTGATTTTTTTAAGGCACAAATGTTCCGATTAATGACAACCGGTCGGATATCACGAGCCGTTTCCCTAACATTCCCAAAATGGCTGAAGCGGTTGGAAAGTTCGTTTACTCGTTTGCTGAATTGTACTTTCGTATTTCGGTACATATATTTGTGCTAGACTTTTTAAGATACAGCAGCATGTTTGTTGTTTTAGCGTTAGGCCGAAATAGTTGTTGCAGTTGTTTTAATAGTGAGAGTTCTGTGGCTCTTTTACTGTCATCTATACTAGTTCTATCACAAGTACCAATGCGGGAGAAGTACTCGTCTAGCATCTATCACAAAGCATGTAATACCTGTGTTTTGATTGTTCGGTAGCAGTATACCTTCTTTTAACTGTTGATCATCTTTGAATTCGTATCCTAATCCCAACTTTTTAGCGTCGATGTTGCTGCCAAAGTGGAATCTTTAAAGAAATGGACCATTGGAACATTTAAAAATTCAAGACAACAGCTTTTAGAACACATGGGAAAGGTAATATTGTGATATAACATGCATTCATTCATGTAAAATGTGTCGTCGTACAAGACTTTTTAGACAGATAAGACCGTCGATGAAGTGTTTGAAAGGGAATGTGAAGACCTCAAGGAACTGCACAAAAGGTGAGATCAATCTATCCTATTAAAACCCTTGTACCCTTTAACCTCGTGCTTCAAAGGTACGGTAGCTTGGTTTCTGCCGCACGCGAATTTACCAAGATCTTGACTCAACTGAGTCAAGCGGAGAAGAACCTTGCTGAGAGCCTTCAACATCTTTCAGTTAAAGAAGTTGCCATTAAGGTAGGCAGATCAAATTACGTAGAGCATTCGTCTATACCATATTTATCATTGAGTGTCACCCATGAAAGAAAAATGGCATCACTACGTGTTTAAGTTGCGTGGTCATTTTTTCCATTGATGTTAAAGGTTCTTGTAAAGAAGACTAGTCCACCTCTGTATGGAACATTCGGTAGGTTTCTTTTATAGTTGGATTGCTTGCTTCAACGCTTGTTCTCCTAGTAATTCTCAGGACCGGCGTGCTATTAACTTTGAAGAACGTGAAATCAGCCCCAACGTCATCTGTCTTGAAATAAACATTGCGCAACCACATTTTGTCTGCTCACCAAGGAAACAATAAATGTTTGGTCTTGTTTTATACTATACGTTAGTCTATCTTGATAATATCGTCACCCAACAGCAACCATACGTCGTAACTCTTAAGTTTCGTTCACTTGATTGGAGAGAATAACACTCATCGCTAACACTTTTGCTCTCTTACAAAATGTTAAAATTTTCCTGGCGTATTTTAGAAGGGAAGAAATAATGCAAGGGTGGAGTGGAAAAAATGGAGGTTTTTCATATTGCTTGGTGTTCTTTCCACGTTCTCTATCTTTCTACATGCTCTTCAATACGCAGCTTGGCTCTTTAACACTAATAACGCTCTATTAACACTTTCCTGCTTTCCAAAACAAAAAGCATTATTAAGCATTCGTTTTGTTTAGTGTAATATATCAAAAGGGTTCTTTTTTAAAATATTTCTCTTACTTGAATACTTGAATGGCCCGTTTTCACTGGTTGTGTGGACCCCAGCACAATCTCCATTTTTGGGAGATTTGCTGGTTAGGTCATTGTGATTCTCTGGAATCCCGAGGTCAGCCTGGTCAAAGTCTGCCCTAGGTCCTCACCAGTACAGGCAGTCGCAGCCCTTGTGGATCGGAAGGAGATTTGCCACCATGCGACTTTGATACCAGGACGGTGGTGGTTCCTAGTATTGGTTTACTCTTACCTAGGCTTCCTGATAGAAACGCCGGACTCCTCAGTTTGGGTGACTCTGACAGGGGGATGAATTCTCCCGCTGTACATCGCATCACGACACCCAGGAACACCTCCCAGCCACGATGATGGGGTAAACCGTTGAGAGATCTCTTTTTCTCACTTGTCAGAATTTTTCGAATTGTGGATGCAGTCACTTGCTTTGGATCTTTTGTGGGTATTCGAAAGAGCATGTTCCCTAGACCGCATCGGTTATGGTTAAGCGCAGGAAAGTGCACGTAGGATAAACTGATGGATGATAGGATGCTCGGTCACCACATTGGTCTTTTGATGACATTCTGATAGATGGTCGGTGTTGTCTAACATTAATACCTTCTTTTTCTTTTTATTCTTAGTCATTAAGTCATGAGTAATGCATTATGTGATCCGAAGAACGTGTCATATGCAGCGGTTCAGTGTTGGCATTTGCATCCTCTGATCTTTCACCTGCCTCTGATATCTGTTTGGTGGTTGCTATTTTCCTGCAAGATGTGCCCGCTTGTTGACTACAATTCCCTTTATACTTTCTTGAAGAAATATGTCTTTATCACAGCTGATTGTTACTGTGGAATTGACAAAAGAGCTAGGGCATGGTACATTATTCAAGGCATTTTTTGCTTCTCGACGAGTCTTTGATTCGTTTATGAAGATTTCTCACATCGAATACAACTGTCAACTGCCGTGTCACTCTATGTTCTTGAAAAAAGCTGTTGAATTCGAAGTACGACCGATAGTCTTGCATACAAAAATAAATGTGCACTTTACGCCATCACGAATGTCGTCCACTTTCCAAGGACTAGATCAAATGATTAAAAGGCCACTTAAATATAGACCAACAGGCCAAGGACCATTTAAATATTCCCTGTTTTTTAGTCACAATGCACAACAACCTCCGAATCAATGCTACGTATTGCTAATCATGCTGCAGCTCTGGATAACTGTCTTCGTTATTTTCAGTCAGCTATGGAAACGCTCTATAGCAAAACCATAGTAGACACATTGGAAACAATTTATGCAACAGAAGCGGTAGGTGATATTCAATGGTACCATGAATAGTGAACTTGACTTCGCATACATGACAAGCTCATGAGTGTTAAATCAATATTGAAAATTCAACGTTTAGTGTCTAAGGTTCATTTTGTTTGGCAAGCCTGAAGCTACGCTTTATTTTTTGTTATGCGCAACGTCTTTTAAGTTCAACGCCTAGTATCCTTTTCCCACTTCCCACAAAGATTTGCACGACGCTTCTCTGCGCTTTCCGCCCCGTTTTCCGTCCTCTTCAAATATTTTTACGTACTTGTATTTTTTTTTGAAGGATCTTTTCTTTGCATATCTTCTATCTTCATGCTCTTGGATGTATTTTCCCATTTTTGAAACGAGTAAAATACACTTACTTACTTGGACGGCCAGTCTTCACAAATTGTGTGGACTCTACTACATTCTCCACTAGGTTCTTTGCCCCGCAATCGTCGTCATGGGGGTGGTTTGATTCAAGCATGGTAGTGGGTGCAAGTATTATACCGTGTTTTGTAAGACAGCTGTAGCTACGAGTACAGCTGTTTGACTTTAGTTACGAACACGTCCGCTCATCACTTCGTTGATCTTCCAAGAAGACGCTTGCATTTTGTTGGAGTTCACCCCACTGTTATTTTCGTCGATATGTCATCTATTCTTCTTATTATATAACGGGCCCATATGTATCGCTATTAATGTATATTCTCCTGGCTTCCGAAGTCCTAGGTATCCTAGGCTATCCTATGTGTATGGTATTCTATGTTTCGAAGACTAGAGATCCGTGTTCCGGCTAGGTGTTGCGTGTGCTTGTTGTACTTCAGAAGACGGTGTTCAAGCGATGTAGGAATAGTGCATAGTATACTCGTCGTGGTTGAAGTATCAACCTATGTTTGTCTGTCTCTGCAGCGTAACAGAGCGCTGGAAGGAGTGTTGAATCGAAAAGGTGAGCGTGGATGCTCGGATGCTTTGGTTGTCGGTGGCTTCATTGGGAGGCCCGAATGCTTTCCATGCTGCTCTTGTTCTTCTATATAATTGCTTCCTCATGTTGTTGCCTATGTTCATTGCATTGAACGCCCAGAGTTATACGTACGAGGTGATCTCTGCAATAAGAGAACCATTTAGTTTGATCTGATTGCCTTCGCACCATGGGTTTTTCATGAACTAGGTCTTCTCCCGTTTTATGCGCATCATTGCGCATATTCGTTTTTCTCGCCTCGTTGAGCTCATTGATCATCGTCCCTGCTTCGTTGGTATTTCTTGGGAAGATTTGATAGCAATTTCCCATCACTACGTGTGCTACACTCATTCCAATTGAGTGACTTCAATGTTCAGTGCAGTGCGGGACTAAACAGCTTTGGCGATTTTGTGTCACCTTGTTAAACTCCTTTTCCTGTTGGTATGATACGTTGTCGATGGAAAAGGTATTTTCGTAGTACAGTTCCAATAACAGATAGAGTTCTTAGGGTCCATCCTCTGCCCGACGGGAGCTGCATTCATTTTGACACTGTCAAACGTTTTTTCATCGTCGACAAAAGTCAGGACTAAGATATGATGGTATTTCGCATAAACTTCGGTAACCATAAACATAGTTTGGATGTGGTCCGTGCAGCAAACTCCCTGTCGAACTCCTGGTTGCTCAACTGGTTAGGCCTCATCCAGTATGCAGTACATTCAACAAAGACATCAGGCCATAGTTACGAAGACTTTTTTGGTCACCTTTCTTGGGCAGAATGACCGTGCTCCACGTCCACCAGTGATCTGGGATTTTGTCCTTTCTAACGTAGAATGTCATATGGCTTGCGAGAAATGCATTTAAGGTGTAGATTCCAGCTCTAAGAAAGATGGCAGTGAAATTATCGAGTTCTGGAGCCGAGCATTTCTTCATGCTCTCTATCCCACCTCGAATCTCGGAGAAAAGAATTCCAGGTTGTTTTTTTTCAGCGGGTATTTTAGGGTCTGCAACGGGATTGTGGAGCGGAAAAGGTTGGTGTGCAACTTTTGTGTTACTAATCCATATCATAGCGGGAAGTTTTAGCGGTCCCATCTTTGATCATCAAATGGAAGATTATATTCGCACAAGTTCCGATAGCACTTTTTCAGACTAGTTCTTTTTTTGTACTACTTCTTACAGTTTCTTCTGTTTATACTTATGTAAACTTCGTAAAGTTCTGCATCCGGCACTTATCACTAACCGTGTTAAACGCGTTACGGTATGATCAAACTTCAGTTTCCTTTTATTCTCAAACAACTTCTTAATGGTAATGGAGATGCGATTCGATCTTTTTGGCTGAGGAACTGAGGCGAATTCGTCATAACTTTTTAGCCCTTCGACAAGCAGGTTTTCGGTCGGGTTCTTTTTAATCTGCCAGTAACGTTTGAATAGAATCTCGTTCAAAATGCCTTCGTCACATACAGCCTGACTTTTTTCTCGTGGTCGATGGTATGAATCCTTTTCCAGCTTACGGCCAAATCTAATGTTCACGCAAAGAGGGTGGTGATTGTACCGAGCACAGAATTATCGGACGATCGATGTATCATGTAGACACCATCTGTTTGTCAGAATATGGTCGCTCTCCTCACGAGTCGTGTCCTTAGAAGACTCTCTAGTCCAGCAGTGGCTTTCCGTCTTTCACGAAAACGAGTTTCCATAGATAAACATGCTGCCTTTCTCCTAATCCGAATTCCCCAATCCTTTGTTCGCTCTCGTCGGCCTTTCCTACGCTGGCGTTGAAGTTTCTGGAAACAAATTTTTAGTACAATTTACCATTCCGGATAACTTTCTCCAGTTGATAGTAGAACGCATCCAATTTCTGCTCATTAGCTGCATCAATCAGTGAGGAGCATTTGACGACAGTGATCTTCCTACAGCGGTGGTTGATTTATTGATTTTTGTTTTCCGTATGATCTGCACGGTAAATATGAAAGGCGGGTCGTATGTAAAAAAAGAGTTCTTCGCAAAATACTTAATGTAGTTCTTACAACACCAGACCATTGTCCATTATCAGAGATCTGTTCACCTTCATGGTGGCACAGTGTCACTATTAGCACAGCAAAGTTTATGGAAGAGAGAAGTGTTGACATGCCGTGAGTGCTGGACTTATGCTTTAGCATAGGTATCACTCCAAGTACATCATTATACTTTTGCTTTTCCTAGGTTATATCCTTCTGTCCTCATATTCCTTTCTTTCTCCAGATTCCAAACTTTAGCTTCTATCAATTGTAACTTTTCATATGAAGTTAGAAACGTGTGTTTTTCTACGGAGATTACTTCATAGAATAAGAACAAGATAAGCGCATATGTACATCACTCAGGAGTTAAATATTAACGCGTGGTAGTTTAAGGAAAACGAAGAGAACCTCATTGTTCTTAGTAATGAAGGGCTAGTGTTTCTTTAGAATTTTTCCGTTATTAAATGGTTACTCGAAGGTTTTTTGTCGACATAGAGCTTAAGAAACGTCTGAGCATCCTTGGCCTTTGTAGCGAATGCTTTTTTAATTTACATAGATGAATTGTTAGATGTTTGAAATTCCATATTTTTTCGATGTTACCACGTATGGATGATAACTGCTATCTATCTAGATCGAGCCGTTTATTGTTAATATTATTATACTGTACCTGTATTAATGGTTCAGGCCCGGATTGAGTTCGATGTGTGTCGTCATGAGTTGGAAGCTTTACATAGTCAAGCAACTGCTAGCCCGACTGCTATACATGTAGCTAATGAGAAAGCGAGTGTGCAACGGGATAAATACGAAAGGTTGAAAGATGACGTTCGAGTGGGTTAAAGTCTTTTTTATAAACCTGTTTTGTAGCTATTAGCTGTCTTTTCTGTCAATCCATAGCGTAATTAAATTGTCTCAGGTAAAACTTCGGTTACTGGAGGAGAATCGCATAAAAGTGATGGCAAAACAACTTGAAAGGCTTCAGACAGCATTGGCGGCTTATTTTTCTGGAAACGCTGAATTGCTTGCTGTTGCCATTGAAGAGTTGCGTTCACTTAATGTTCCAAATTCATCATTGATTTTGTAAAGATTGTCTGCTCTTATTTTTGTTTTATCATTAAAGATCGCGGTTGAATATTAAGGGGGTTTGTCTTTCATAGTGTCCGGTATTTTAGTGGTTGTTCTGTTGTTGCATAACTATATTTGGCGTTGTCATTGTTCTTGTCCATACTGTGATAATTGTAGTAATCTGCTATAGTGTTGCCTTTTTCCACTGTGTCCATGCTCTCACTTTCGTATTTATTATAGGGCTATATCGGGCGTTGTCTGAGATGGACAGTTTTATAACGTGTTCATACCATTGGTTTTACTGTACATTACAACTGTAATGTGTTGAATTTGTGGGATAACTCCAAGGCGAGTGAAAACGCTCCCTTTTATCGCTGGAAAGCGATCTTGAGACTTCTTATGTCCCTTGTTACTTTTGAAACGGCTGCGAGGAAACGAATCGAATGTGAGCAGTTCTGGAATCCGCGCAGTAGACGTGAAGACCGGCCGTATAAATAACAAATAGTTTTAGAAATTCTAGGAATCAACTGGTCCTCACCTTAATTACTCGTTTTCTCGCCGCTGCTTCAGGTTGAAGTAATAAGTAAGAAACGCTGTAACAAAACCAATCTTCCGAATTTCGAAAGTCGCAAGAATTGCAGCAAGTTCTGGTGTTGGGTTAATTAATAACGGTGAAATACAACTACAAGGATGCTGCTATATGAGCAAAACTGAGTAGCTCGGTTGGCCTTCCAACTCGCCAGAAAAATTGCTTCGTGTGCAGCGTTAGCTTAACTGGTTTCAATGATCATTTATGTTCCCAGGTCATTCTTCATGACATGGGGTTGTGATGGCACCGTTAAAGTGAAAAAAAAACTAGCTAATGGAAAGTCAAAACGCTGACCTCGGTTGGTGTAGTGGATGGCGTGTGAGCTCCGGAAGTGGTAATCTTGTGTTCGAAGTCCACCTGAGGTTCCGAGTTTTACTTGTATCTTAGCATCGTTGTGGTTCTATTCCACGTAATACCCTCCGTGATAAGAAAAAATAGGCAGTAGATGAAAGCTAAAAAACAGTGAAGTAGGTGAGTCATACTTTTCTATGGTTGTGGTTGTTATACACGCGTTGAGGTCACCTCTCCTCACGTAACATGATGGTCTTAGCAATTCTTTAGTTTACACTTTTTATCTTGGAACTCCTAGTCACGAATGTGGCCGTTTGTGTTGCTCGTGCTAAATCGTTCTCGTCTTTTAACCACAACAGTCTCACGCCGTTGTGAATCGACAAGAAGTTTGATCCTTCGCAAATGGGACTGCTCCGGATTCATAACGATTCCACAATTTAATCGACCGAGGAAAACGTTACAGGCTGAGTACGAGTCGTGTAGAGGGTGTGCTGCTAGCCTTTTTGAGACATTCGCCGTGACGCCTAATTTTTTACGTCACGCGCTACGATTTTTATGTGGTTCGCATCGTACACCTTGCTTTCTGGGTTCCACCAACGTATTTAGCTCTTGTGTGAGGTGAAAAAAAGAAACGTCAAGAAATCGACCTAATGACGACGTGTATCGCCTCTAACCACTATGCTGCAGAAACGATTGTAGTAACACATTCTAGCAACTACAAAAGAGCGAACAGCCAATTACGGGCTGAAAATTGGATTTCGCATGCTTGAAAGGAAGAATTCAACATCACCATCAGCAGAATGTTCATTAAGAATGGACAAGAGGACACCGAAGGCATTTAGGAAAACCAGAAACGTTTTTTGGTATCCTTCGAAGAGTGCACAAATCAAATAGGGAGATGAAGGTAGCAGGATGAGTAGCTGAACAGTGTTGCATCCTCAAAACCGCTGATTTTTCGATCGACATCAATACTTAGCTATTCAGTAGCCCTTGGTTTAATTTGCAGAAGACTTACATTTTTGTGAAATATTTACAACTGATTGTAAAGGAGACCAGAGATAAAAATGAAGGATGAACTAGTGGTAAGAAGAAGCAGATACGAAAAGTAGGCTGGAGACTGGGGCTGGGCTGGAGACTTCCATTGATCTCTTACTGAAGAATGAAAATATAGATGACATATTTGTTTGTAAAATGGAGCTCGTTAAGCGTTTAGAGATGCCTTGCAGTACAAACTTGGCCGGCAATTAGTTCGTTACCTCATCCCGATCTTAACCTCCTATCCGTTGGGAAATTCATATCAAACCTGCCTGTGAAGATAGAACTATCGACTTGACACATCTGTAGGCCTCCTAACGTCACTATATGTGAACCAATTACCCATTCAACCACTTTTACTAAGCTTAATAAAGTTAAAACCGTGGCACCACGTTAACCCCTTCTCGACGACGCTAGTCCTTCGACAACTGACGACAATTTTTCAATCAAAACAGTATTTCAGGAAATACGAATCTTTTAGATTCGTAGAACAGACTTCACTTTAATCGTGTATATACAAGAAACAAGAGATCGCATTAATCGTATATATAATTGACAGGAAATATCAATTGACAAGTAGTCATTTATATTTCACGTTCTTACCGCCTCAAATGTCCATAAGCAAGCTCAACGAGACTGCTATATTGATTCCAGATGAGATCCTGACTGATATGTGCATAAAATTTGTCATAGGGAGATGGCTCAACACTACATACCATAGGCCATCTCTATCGAACGTGCTACAAATGAAGTGGATGTAGTATCCACTACCATGCAAATGAGAAATGGGAATCGGAGTTGGTGTTTATGTCAGCGAATAAACGTCACGAAGATCAAATGGGTCGCATAGTTAAAGTGTCTCAAACTTGGGTAATTAAACCGTATATATAGCTATTATACACCTCCAAATGGTTTGCCGTCTCATCGCGGACAGTACGTGTTCCCGGGTGTCGGGTTGCAATGTACAACAAGGGGATTCGCTCTGCCGCCAGGGTCTCCCAAGCTGAGAATGGGTCCGGCGTTTATACGAGGAACCCTAGCTAAGAGTAAACCAATTTCAGGATCTACCACAGTCCTGGTGCGAAACTTGTCGCATGGTGGCAAATCACCTTCTGATCCATGAAAGTCGGCGACTGCCTTTAGTGGTGACGACCTGGGGCGGACTTTGACCAGGGTGACCTCGGAACTCCAGGGAATCACAATGGCTATACCAGAAAAACTCCGAACAAATGGAAATTATGCTAGAGCCGGTAAAGTCACTGAGAACGGGCCATCCAAGTATCCAAGTAGGGAGGTAAGTAATTATTATGCAATGTTCCTTCAGATCTGTATATGTTTAGAATAGGAATTTTCAAAAAAAAACTGAAAACGAATTTTGGGATTTTTAGGGCTTCCAGCGCTTGCTTAAGGTAGCTATGAATATGAATAATAACATTAGGAGACATCATTCTATCACGCTGGACGTAGTGTCGTTTTCTCGATTGCTTTCATTTTGGAAGATAAGCCTCGAAACGATGATGTGGAGGAAAGGTACGTCATAGACTTCAGAAAATCAGAGGCAGCGGTAGAATGAGGACATTCCTTTCCTGTAAACAAGCAATTGCAGATTTTAATAGCTTCTATTGCTGTCAACAAAGTTCACTATGAGCTGAGATATGATGAAGCATCAAAGCGGCTATTATTTTTTCGATGTCTTATGACTCCTATAGAGGTCACGCCGCTGTGTAAGAGTTAAAGGTTAGTTACCGGAAAACACTTTGCACTTCATAGGTCGTTTTTCTAAAAAGGGAAGAAAAAGCGTTTAGTTTTGGGTGGCTCTTTAATGTACGCGATTTTGATCGTTTTCCACAATAAGTAGAAGTCAGAAAGTGTTAACATGAGGTGAGAAAGTTTTTTCTGGAAAAGATAAGTTTAAGCTGGTATATCGATTGAAACCCCGGCGCTGAATTGTCGTCTACTGATTTGTCCACGACAGTACCACCCATTCACGTCTCTTTACAAAACCATCTGCGTGCAAACAAGTAATCCCTGAGCTGAGCAAAACAAATCTTCTATTCGCCGTACAGCTCAGCGTTGTTTGTGAATTATTGACCTATGACTTCGATTTACCAGTCGTTGTTTTTGAGCTGTTCAGATTTTGTTTCAATAGTCGCCAGTGTGGATACCACACTCGTTGATTAGTGATATTTTATCATCTTCAATGATCTAAAAAGCAATCTTCCTTACAGTAAACGTTTTCAAAAGTTCTTCCAACTGACGAAGGATCGATTTCTTTGTGATTATTCGATTGTTGTGAATAGTTCACATGTATGAAGAACATCCTATGACTCAGCCAGTTCAACAATTCGATGCTGCTGAACACCACCACATTCTAATTCTAAACTTATGCTTTATTTGTCAAATCAGTATCAACACGAGTACGGTTCGTAATAAAGTAACTAGGTTTCTCTCAAATACTAGCAACGAAGAACCAGAATCATTCTGGCATCGGCCTAACCTCTAGGGCTAAGTATGCTCCATTGTATTACATAGCAGTCATAAAGTTGTAGTCATTTTTTATCTACTGCCTATTCTTTGTTAATGGCGGGATATTATGTGAAATTTGACCATGATGATGCTGAGACATTACCAAAATTCTGGTCTGCAGACACAAACGGCCCGGAGTTTTGCAAATATCTCAGCATCATTAGGGGTAAAGTTGTTTAGGGGATTAATAGCTGGCCAGAAGAAATCTCATCGAGAAGTGTTAAGTCTAAAAGTGAGAGTTAAACGTCATAAATTGCTGTTTGTTTGATTTTCATCATAGAATTCAACATGTCCGCACTAGGTGCGCGTTTAGCGCAGTGATTAGAGTTAAACACACATAGTCTTCGGTTAGATCCTCAATCCCGAGCCTAAGCCCCTATCCTTCCGGGATCAAGCCTTCCATCCCTCTGGTATGGGAAAACCTGTGTGGAAGAGTAGTAGACTTCTTTATATCAGTTAGCCACCGCTAGTCATGGTATAGGGTAGATACGTATCCAGTCACCCCAACGATGGTTAGTGAAGTCCATGACTCTCAGGGATTGATCAACGCCGAACACTTTGTTCTTTATATTTTATTA